TCTTAAAAATTCCTTTTAGACCACGGGGTAACTCTCTATCAAACGGTATCGAAAAATATTTAGACGTATCTTTCTCCGCTTGAAAAGTCGAATTTTCAGAAATCATTAACCTATACCTACGTTTTCTAATTAATTTATCAACTAGTGAAGGAGAATATCCATTACACTCAGCTACATTCCTAATGTAATATCTTTCTATTTCATATCTTTCGTTGGAAAGTGGGAAACTAAGTAATCTATGAACTAAGAAATTTAAACTAGCCATTTTATGTTCAACACTATGATGTGATTCATTTGGAATATATCTGCGTGTGGTCGTATTTTTCCTATAGATATCAAATTCCAGGCAATTATTAGTATTTCTAATAACTAGAAATGGTAATCTGTCGTTGTTCTCAATTTCATGCGTAAATTTAATGGAAGGAAAACGATTATTTAACTTAGAAATAAAATTATCTATAGTGTCTGAATGTGTGTCAAAAACAGCAAAAATATCATCCACATACCTAAACCATACTCTTGGAAAATACCCAAACTGATTCTTAGCCTCCACTTCAAACCTGCTCATGAATAAATTAGCCAAAAATGGAGACAATGGATTACCCATTTCTGTACCTTCCCGCTGTTCAAAAAAGTTGTTATTAAATTGAAAACAATTTTGTTTCATACATAACGATGTAAGCTCAATATATTCACTCACAGTTTTGTTGTCGAGACCATTTGCGTTCAGTAATTCCTTTAAGTAGCCTAAAATATGTGGAATTGGAACACTTGGGAACAACGAAGATACATCAAAGTAGACCAAAATTTCACCTTCATGGAATGTTATATCTTTAATTTTGTTAATGAATTCAATATTATTTTTAACTGAGAAAGAAGGTTCATGATCAGGTAAATTTTCGAACTCCCTTGATAACCATTTTGCCAAATTATAAGTCGGAGAACCTACAGCCGAAACAATTCGACGCATAGACTTGTCCGGTTTATGAATTTTTGGCAAAGCATACAATTTTGGTAATGAGGGATTGGATACTTGCCATTTCCAACCCTCAACTGTAATTTACTTTACCTTTTGCTAACCACAGTTAAAACAGAAGATCGTCTATGGAATTGACAACAGCTTTCTGACAATTCTATTCCAGGATGACATGATATAATTATTGTAAAAACACTATTCTAGTACTTACTACATTTTTGTCTATTATAAAAAGACGCCAGCTCGCCTAGCTTCTGAAAAGCTGACCAACGAAAAATATTTTTGCCCAATCAAACGTCAAAATCGAGTAGGTAGATATAGTACGTGGTAGTTCTATTCCCATGAAATATTAGATCATTCTGTTATAGTGTAGTTAAATAAATTAATTCTGCATATTTTACTTAATGAAGAATATTGTTCTGGCTATTGGTTCCGAATATATAACCTAACCAATTGAACGTCGCATAAATTTGAAATTCGAATATTTCCACTATAATCGATTTAGAAATGTTATTTGAAACAATACATCAAGTATACATGGCGAAACTAATTTATTTATAGAAACAAGAAGACAATAATGTTATAACTAAAGTAAACTCGGACAGTAATTCGAATAGGCTAGTAAAGTAAATTAACTATTTTTGCAATATATTATTACAGTATATTTCAAATAAGCATGCACTGGGTTATGAAAATGTTTTGTTTTAAGTTTATATTAAAAAAGCTAAACTTCATAACGTTAATATAATATACTAGCGTGTACCCGCGACTTCGTTCGCGTCGAATTAATCATTTGTAACGGTGATGATAAAGCAAAGCAGGAATTTCCATTAACATACAAACTGGATAAAATTTTCTCACATTTATGTCAGCATGAGAAAAAAAACAATATGGCGATATTATTATACAGGGTGTCCCAGAAATAAGTGCAAGTATTTTAACTGGTAGGATAGTTCAACCCCAGAAACACGCCTATGAGTTTCTTTCGCAAAAAAAAAGTGAAAATTCGAAATTTTTTTGAAATTTTTTTAGTTTTTAGTTAAAAAACATAATTTCTTGATAATATGGCAACATAGGTATTAGATTAAATTTACAAGAAAGAAAATCCAGAAAAGATCCAGTGATTCTGAAAATTTTAGCAAAAAATAATTTTATTTTGAAACTTTCAAAGTAAAATAACTCCGTTATTTTGGACTTATTTGAAAAACGATAAAGAGAAAATATGTTTCTTTTATCGAGATCTACCACCCCTTAATATACTTGCACTTATTTCTGGGACACCCTGTATAACTTGGTAATATTTGAGGGGTAGTTACGTCTCGTTGGAATTTGACTTTTGAAAAATCCGTTTGCCAAAAATAAGCGTTTTGCGTCAAGCAGTTTAAGCAGAATCGTGGTTAATCAACTACCCCACTTTTAGGAACACCCTGTATGATTTTTTATTTTGAATATGTAAAAAACAAAATAAATTATACTTGTCCAAGCGTTTTCACGAAAGACTAACCGTTTTTTAAATAACAAATATCCCAAGTAGCAAATTTTATTTTATAAAGGCTGTATAAACAGCTATGTGATAATTTTTATAGGATACCTCAATTCATATAACGTGCTATAAGACCGTAATATGACAGCTTTACAACCAAAAAAGGCCCATTTTTATACAACCGTTTAGTAGTATAAAAGTTCTATAAAAAGGGTATACAACTCTTATGCAACTATTTTACACAGCGTTATATAACTATTATAAAACTTGTTTTATTGTGTATTACGTGGTCATATCTAAGAAACAGAACAATAAAAACATTTGATCATTTAGCGAGGTAAAAGAGTATATTATTTTTTACCGAAGAATATTAGGAGCAAATTATATTTTAAGCGTATCGTAAAATGAATCTAGAGGATGTGGATTGTTAAAAAGGAGACTTTACTCGACAATGAAAATGGCGGGTAGAGCCAGAAGGTACAACAAATATGTAATATAAAAAATCATTAATAGGGTTTGAAAAGTAGGGACAATTTTTGTTGCGCAGAAAATTTTACTGGTAGATTATAGTATGTATTTGGCAAAAAATTAAAGCGCTTTAATTTCGATTAAGGTTTACGTATAAATTTAAACAATAAAATAAAATAAAATTTTCAAAAATTTTTGTTTTTAATTTAATTAACCGCTTTCTTACTGTCTGTGGGAATCTTATCACAAAATAGTTCTCAAAAATAACATTTTACAATTTATTCTGGTGTTTTTAATTTTGCTCATATAATGGCGGCCATAGGCCATACAAAAATTCTGCCTTAAACATGGCGAATTATAATGCAACCATTTTATTATAAATGAATCCCTTAAATAAGTCTTTGTTGTAAAATAAAACGGTATAGGATAAATATCTATCATTACGCAGAATTTCCAGGCACTATAGAACTATTTTGGACATATTGAGATTTGTGACAAATAGATGTGGCCAAATCTCATTTGATTAGTATTTAAACTAACAAACATGATCAGATTTTCATGGATTCGTGCACGCAATGCATTTCATGCATTGCATGCAAACAACAATAAAACAATACAAACATTACTACAGTAAAACTTTTACATCAACGTGGCAACAATGCTTTGAAGAAACCAGACAACCCGAGAGATTTTGGCTTTTGAGAACCCAGGGAAGTCTGGGGATTATTTACCGTAATTTCGAGGAGTTTTTTCTGACATGCCCTTTATAACTACCACTGCGTTTGTTAACTTTTTTCCAACTTTGTCCAGAATTCATAATAGCTGTGATTGATTATACTCGTACGTAGATATTACTTTTACAACAACAACAATAACAAAATAAATAACTACGTATACCATTTAATTTAAAATGAGGTTATATTATAAATTACCAGTTTTATAATGCAGATATTACAGCGAATTTATTTTGTTAATCACAATTTTATCATATAAGGCATACCGAGACTTTGAGTCTTTTTTCTACTTTTTTACTAGAAAATAGTTTAATATGACAACTTTAATTAAAAAACAGAATGGTCGAAACCAAACGCTTAATAAAATCAAGCAGTCCTTAAAACAACGCTATTCGACTGTTATAAAATAATTCAATCCTTTTAGAATTTCTTTTTGCTACTTGGGATTGTAATATTTGAGGGGCGTTTTCACCCTCTTGGAATTTGAGATTCAAAAAACCTCTCCTTATCGAACCTCTATACCCCACAGCCAATCCGTTTGCCAAAAATCAGCTTTAAACGTCAAGCTGAATAAGCAGAATCGTGGTTACTCAATGGTCATATTTTATGAAACATCCTGTATAAATTTTTAAAAAATCTTAAAATATGTAAAAAAACAAAATAAAATATACGTGTTTAAGCGTTTTTTCGGAAACTTGACCGTTTTATAAATAAAAAATGTTGTAATATTTGAGGGGTGGTTTCACCTCCTTGGAACTGGAATTTCGAAACATCCCTTCTTATCGAACCTCTACACCCTAGAATCAACCTGTATGCCAAAATTGAGCTTCTTACGTTGAGTGGTTTGAGCAGGATCGTGATTAATCAGTCACTTTAGGATTTTATATATTAGTATAGATTTTAGAAACAATATTTTTAACATTGCATTAATAAAAAAGTCCTTTTTTTTATCCAAAAAAATCCTTATGGGTTTTTCGCCACTGCACTGCAAGAAAAATCTACAAAATAAAATAGTTATTTTTTGTAAACACTTCTGCGTTAAACCTAAACGGACGCTGCTTGTCAGAAGTTGTGTTTACAGTAATAAAAATTTGCCTAACAAAGAAAAAAATGCTTAACGTTTCGGAAAGTTTTCTTTCCGTCGTCGGAAGCAAAAAAAATATAAAGAATCAAGAAAAAAACTATTTAAGATATTTAAATTGAACTATTCGAGAACACCTTACTTTTTAAAACAGATACGTCTACAAGAAATCGTTGACGTTCTGTGGTACGATTTCTTGTAGACGTATCTGTTTAGACGCCGCATAGGTATAGACATTTTTTCCTTTTTTTTTCTCAGAGCAATCCAACGGCAAAGGTTGTACCCTAAATGGACCGAACTGAAGTTCCCAGAAGTGATTTACGGTGTTCCACAGCCGATCAACGAAATCGATATACCCATCGAGTTGAAGTCTGGCACCAAATGCGTTGGTACCACTGCATGTATGGGCAACGTCCAAGCGAGGGCCTGCGTCATCACACACTTGGATGAAATTGGCCAGTTACAAAAAGGTAATTCCAGAAAAGAAGTAATTTTATTCTAAACTGTGAGTTTTTGTTACATCCTGTATTATTTGGTGCTATCCGTTGTACAGAGTGTCCCAATTTGATTACAAATATGTGTCATCTTGCTCTTGCTTATTAGAAAAGATTAAATCTTGACAGTTTTCGAGAGCTTGATGCTGTCTGAATTATTCAGTATTACTGAACGAATGATGAAGGTCAGTATACATTTTTAGTAAAAATTATCACTATATTCATATACAGGGTTGTTCACCACATACGACACGGAGTATTGTAGCTAAACGATGAGATTTTTACAAATTGTAAGTTTTGGGTTCGTTGAAGGACTATTAGAGCAACAATTTAAAAATATTTTTACAAGATACAGAGTGTCCCAAATAAGTAAAAAATATCAAAGTTGTATTTTTTTAAATGGAACACCCTGTATATTATTGCATTTTTAGTTTCTACGATTAAAATAAAGGTAAATTTGATTAAGGTTTATTATACTTAAACATTACGTTTTTGAAATATTTTCAATTTTGTGAAATTGCAGTAAAAATTTTAAAGCTTTATTTCTCCAAGGGTATCAATGTTTTTAATACTAAATATTTAATGAAGTTTATTTATTGATCAGTTATTGTGTTGCAATAATAAAAATAATACTACTTTATAGAGAGTGTCTAAAAATTTACTTTAAATAATTATTAACTTCAAACGGCAACAACTTCTTTAATTTAAATAGAATGCCCTGTATATTTTAGGAGAATCAGATGCACAATTAAATTGTCTATCAAATTGCATTATACCATTTTTTACCTATCCCTTCAAGTTTTAGTAGAAAATGCATTTTCTTATAATTTAGACCTCATTTATCAATATATCCATGGAATATTGACATTTTAGATTGTTTTTAAAGCAACAAATGTACAAAATGTACAGACTAGTAATATTATCGTTTTTAGCAAAACGATAATATTACTAGCCCATTTGTATGCAAAAAAGAAAAACTATTTAAATCTTTATAAAAGAGTATACCATTAATTAAATATAACACCATTATTTCCGCTCATATACTAATTAATTACATACTTAATTGTAGCGTTTGTTAATAAATTATTATAAATAAATGTGGATTTGAGTCAGAAATCAATATAATAATAAGTTATAAATTAAAGTCTCTGTTGTTTAAATAAGTATTTATTAAAAAATGAAATGTCATTTTTAAGGTGTTTCTTTTTATCAGACTGTCTAATACCCATACAAAATTCAGTTTTTTAGTATTTGGAGCAATTATTATTAATCAACGCAAACAGTCAGTTAATGTAGTTTGAATACTGGAATCATATTAATTGGTCCCCTTTAACAAATATTTAAACATTTTTTTTTTATTTTTTAATAAAATAAACAAATTATATCGACAATTTTAGTATCTGTACTCTTTAAAAATTTGGTACATCTTTAAAAATAATCTAAAATGTCAATATTCCATGGGTATATTGATAAATAAGTTCTAAATTACAAGAAAATGCATTTTCTATGGAAACTTAAAGAGATAGGTAAAAAATGGTATAATATAATTTGATAGACAATTAAATTGTGCATCTGATTCTCGTAAAATATACAAGGTGTTCCGTTTAAATTAAACAAGTTATTGCCGTTTGAAGCTAATAATTATTTAAAATTAATTTTTAGGCACTCTGTATAAGGTAGTATTATTTTTATTATTGCAACAAAATAACTGATCAATAAATAAACTTCAGTAAATATTTAGTATTAAAAACTTTGATACCCTTGGAGAAATGAAGCCTTAAAATTTTTACTGCAATTTCACAACATTGAAAATATTTCAAAAACGGTAAGGTTTAAGTATAATAAACCTTAATCAAATTTACCTTTATTTTAATCGTAGAAACTAAAAATGTAATAATATACAGGGTGTTCCATTTAAAAAAATACAACTTTGATATTTTTTACTTATTTGGGACACTCTGTATCTTGTAAAATTATTTTTAAATTGTACCTCTAATAGTCCTTCATCGAACCCAAAACTTACAGTTTGTAAAAATCTCATCGTTTAGCTACAATACTCCGTGTCGTATGTGGTAAACAACCCTGTATACTTTTCTTCAGTCTGTAGTGTGAGTTTCTTTTTTAGGGTTCCGTACCCAAAGGGTAAAAACGGGAACCCTATTACTAAGAACCCTATTAATAAGTCTATCTTATGAACCGTTATAGCTAGACAGTTGAAATTTTCACAGATAGTGTATCTATGTTGCCCCTATAACCTCAAATACTAAAAACAGAATTAAATAAACGTTTATAAATAAAAAAGTACTTTCACTAAACATTATCTTTTAAGTAAGAATTTTACATAGAATCTTTCAAGTCCTGGATGGCCGCATGGTTAAAACGTTAGGACTTTACGCTACTATGACTTTGGAGCCGTAGTAAGGCAGGTTCGAATCCTAGTCAAGGCGACTTTTTTTTAATCGTTTTGTTTAAATTTTACATATTTTTACATATTTATTTTTACTTTTTACATGTTTATTATTGATTAATACAAATTTTAGTAATGTGTTTCTTCATTTTTTTTAAATTACTTATACGCGCATTCAAAATTTTAGCTAAATCGGAAAAAAGTTTATAATAATATAGTATCTAATGTTGTATAGATAATGAATGGTACGGAACCCTTCGTCCGACTCGCATTTGACCAATTTTTTGTTTAATTTTCCACAGTTTTAAGGAAATAATGATGAATAATTCGATTTTAAATGGATTTTTTTTATTTCAGGTGATATACTGATTACATACTCTACAGATATTGGTTGGTCTCCATATTTTCCCATGCTATCTGGTGTTGTTACTGAATTAGGTGGGCTAGTATCACACGGTAGGTAATTCTATCATCATCATCATCATTTTCAGCTTATTCAACCATTTCCAATTATGGTGTAGCTTCCCTCGCATATTTTGAGACTCTCTTTGTAGTTGGGCCCATTGCTGTCTATTGTTGACTATGCGGGCCCAAGTTATCCCCGCTAATTTCCTAATATTCGTAATTCATAATTATATTTGACTAAATATTTGACTAATTCATAATTGTATTTGACTAAGAGTGGGTCCTCTTCCCCTAGGAGATGCAAGACCTTGTCGTTGGTGGGGAAGCTCCTGGTCAGGTGCTGGGGGGAATCCCCCCTAGCACTTGGCTTGGTCTAAGAAGCATCTTACTCATCGTCTTGTCCCTGACTGTAGTGTCATGGTTTGGTTTGGTGGATCCAGGGAATTGCACCAAGACATATAACGATACCGGGCGGGGCTACGGACAGCCTCAACCTTGGGGCACCGGGGGGCACCCCATTGTATTTTACCCCTTACTTCTACATGCGGGGCTCTGTAGAAGTGGACCGACTGTCCCTAGCGACTCATAGGAACACTATGAGATCTGGTAATAATAGTAATAAAAACATCACCGGTGAAGCTGTGGGGAAACCCCCTAGCGACACTGGGAACAGTAACAATGAAAGTTCCAAGGGGCCAAACCCAAAGAGAACTACAGGAAAGGTGGCTGACACTTGGGTGAGACCATCCTCCGCAAGTGGCATACAAGCTACCACCTCCTCCAAGGGTCGGGAGCCTACCTCCTACCTCTAAACCCAACAGGCGACACAAACTACCGTTTTGTCTACCCGGCCTGGGTCGTAGCTCCTCGACTGTGAGGGACACGGGTCTCCGTAGGAAGTCCTGGGACTGTATGATGAGTTATAACTCAAGAAAGGTTGACACAATAGATCTCTAAGGTGGCAGAGATTAACCCCCTCCCACTTATTCTAAATTCTAAATTTCTAAGAGTGGGTCCTAGGTGGGACCCTTCACTGCGGCCGCGAGGGCCTATTGTGGCTCAGTTTCTACAAGCTTTTTAATAAAAAAAAGAGCATTAAAGTTCACCCTCAAGTCACAGCCTTTTGACATAGGCCGTTATGTCCGAGGGTGATATGTCTTCTAGGTTTGATAGATCTAGCGTGGGTTTGCCAAACACCTCAAACCTGGCCCTGCCCCCAGCGGGGCAGGTACACATAACGTGCTTCATTTTTCGTCATCTTCCATACAGAGTCGGCATTCGGCGTCTTCCACCGGTCCCATCCTCTGTAGATGTGATCTCAGCCGGCAGTGGCCCGTGTATACTGCAGTAAGCGTATGCGCTCCGTTCCTACCAGCCTTTAGGAGTTCATCTGTTCTATGTTTGGATGGCCCTGCTAGGGATTGTCTTGGTATGTTCCAGTCCGGGACTGTCATACCAGTCCCGAAACGTTGCAACTCTAACCCATTCACAGAGCCTGTCTCTTGCGAGGTTTTTTGGTACGCTATGAGTCCGTTCTGGGCCCACGAATGGCGAGCCTGCACCAGTTTTGGCGAGGGAATCAGCGAGTTCATTTCCCTCTGGGCCGACATGTCCCGGTATCCATATTAGCGATACTTTGTTCCTATCTCCTAATCTATTGAGTACTTTCTTACAATGAAGAATCGTCATAGACGTGCTTTTCGTTGCCTCAAGTGCTTTCAACGCGGCTTGACTATCCGAAAATATGCTTATTGTTTTCCCGGTGTATTGCTGTTCTACCAGCAGTTGCACACAGGTTTCAATAGCATATAGTTCAGCTTGGAAAATTGTGGTATGTTTTCCAAGACTGTGGTAGATCTCAGTCTTTGGAGTGCTGCAGTAAATTCCTGCGCCAGATCCTTTATCGTTTTTGGATCCGTCCGTGTACCAACACATTTCCGCATCTAATAAGCCGTTTCTCGGTTAGGTTGTGTTCCTAATATCATGGTCCCATCTCAGGTTTGGTCTTCTTCTAGGTCTCTCAATTCCTCATGGGTTCCATACAGTAATTTTTGTGGTCCTGCACATTGTCACTTGAGGGATGGCATTCATTATTCTCATTGTCATTCATTGCTCTCATATCACAGATAGGGGTTAGAACCTTTGGTATTACACATCAAAATAAAACACTAAATCACCACAATACACCAAAACACTTTTACTTTTACACTGAACGCGCGTTTCGAGAACCATGTTAGCATCACCAGCAGATGATTAAAACTAAACTAATATCTACAATTTGAGCGTTTATACAGGGTTGTTCACCACATACGACACGGAGTATTGTAGCTAAACGATGAGATTTTTACAAATTGTAAGTTTGGGGTTCGTTGAAGGACTATTAGAGCTACAATTTAAAAATATTTTTACAAGATACAGAGTGTCCCAAATAAATAAAAAATAACAAAGTTGTATTTTTTAAATGGAACACCCTGCATATTATTACATTAGTTTCTACGATTGCAAAGGTAAATTTGATTAAGTGTTTATTATACTCTAAACTACTGTTTTTGAAATATTAATTTTGTGAATTGCAGTAAAATTTTAAAGCTTATTTCTCCAAGGATATCATCAAGTTTTAATACTAATATTTAATGAAGTTTATTTATTGATCAGTTATTGTGTTGCATTAATAAAAATAATACTACCTTATACAGAGTGTCTAAAAATTTATTTTAAATAATTATTAGCTTCAAACGGCAATAACTTCTTTAATTTAAATGGAATGTTCTGTATATTTTAGGAGAATCAGATGCACAATTAAATTGTCTATCAAATTGTATTATACTATTTTTTACCTATCCCTTCAAGTTTTTTGTAGAAAATGCATTTTCTTATAATTTAGACCTCATTTATCAATATATCCATGGAATATTGACATTTTAGATTGTTTTTAAAGCAAAAAATGTACAAAATGTACAGACTAGTAATATTATCGTTTTTAGCAAAACGATAACATGTTAATATTTTAGCAAAACGATAATATTACTAGCCGATTTGTATGCAAAACGAAAACTATTTAAATCTTTATAAAAGAGTATACCATTAATTAAATATAACACCATTATTTCCGCCCATATACTAATTAATGACATACTTAATTGTGTTCGTTAATAAATTATTATAAATAAATGTGGATTTTTCAGTGGAGTCAGAAATCAATATAATAATAAGTTATCAAATTAAAGTCTTTGTTGTTATAAATAAGCATTTATTAAAAAATGAAATATCATTTTTAAGGTGTTACTTTTTATCACACTGTCTAATGCCCATACAAAATTCAGTTTTTTAGTATTTGGAGCAATTGTTATTATTAATCAACGCAAACAGTCAGTTAATGTAGTTTGAATACTGGAATCATATTAATTGGTCCCCTTCGACAAATATTTAAACAGTTTTTTTTTATTTTTTTAATGAAATAAATGAATTATACCGACAATATTAGTATCTGTACTCTTTAAAAATTTGGTACATCTGTAAAAATAATCTAAAATGTCAATAGTCCATGGGTATATTGATAAATAAGTTCTAAATTACAAGAAAATGCATTTTCTACGGAAACTTAAAGAGATAGGTAAAAAATGGTATAATATAAGTTGATAGAGAATTAAATTGTGCATCTGATTCTCGTAAAATATACAGGGTGTTCCATTTAAATTAAACAAGTTATTGCCGTTTGAAGCAAATAATTATTTAAAATAAATTTTTAGACACTCTGTATAAGGTAGTATTATTTTTATTATTGCAACACAATAACTGATCAGTAAATAAACTTCAGTAAACATTTAGTATTAAAAACTTTGATACCCTTGGAGAAATGAAGCCTTAAAATTTTAACTGCAATTTCACAAAATTGAAAATATTTCAAAACCGGTAAGGTTTAAGTATAATAAACCTTAATCAAATTTACCTTTATTTTAATCGTAGAAACTAAAAATGTAATAATATACAGGGTGTTCCATTTAAAAAATACAACTTTGATATTTTTTACTTATTTGGGACACTCTGTATCCTGTAAAATTATTTTTAAATTGTACCTCTAATAGTCCTTCATCGAACCCAAAACTTACAATTTGTAAAAATCTCATCGTTTAGCTACAATACTCCGTGTCGTATGTGGTGAACAACCCTGTATACTGGCTCAGTGGGCACTGAGTGCCGAGTGGGCGTGACAAGATCTAGCCAAACTGAGCGTAACAATTAATTTCTAAAACTAGAGCAGTAGGAACAGAGAACCGGAAGGAATAGGACCGTTGTCTTCTGTTCATACTATCTTTACATTTATTATTGTGGATTTCGTGGGTTAAAGTAATCATCTGTAAACTCATCATCTGTTAGAATCACTGTCAGGAGTTTCAGCAATATAGGTACACAGTAAAATTCAAATTGAATTCTTGATTTTTTTCTTCTTCATTCGGAAAACAATGCACAATTTTTCCTTAGGTGCTGTCGTGGCCTAGAGAATACGGACTACCCTTTATGTGGGAGGAAAAACCTTACGAAAAATGTTTAAAACCGGCGATATAGTGTTTTTAATGGGAAAACTGGAGAACTGGGAAAAGTAGAAGAACAGTATTAAAAGTTACATTTTATTTGTAATGTTTGCAACAAGCTTGTGATATTTTTTAAACTTATTAAATATTGTATATGACTTGTTTTATATTATTGAGATTGTTTAATAAACCTACGTTACAAGTTAAAATATATACAAATGTATGTTTATTTCTAATATTAATATATCTATCTGTCTTACTAGTATTTTGAATAACACAAAATAATTAAAAAAAATGTTCCCGAAACGTTAAGCATTAATGGTCATATTTTTATGAAACACCCCTGTATAAATTTTTAAAAAAAATTTTAAAATATGTAAAACGACAACATAAAATATACGTGATTAAGAGTTTTAGACCCTAAAGTCAATCTGTTTTCCAAAAATCAGCTTTTTACGTCAAGCGCTTTAAGCAGGATCGTGATTAATCAATGACCAGATTTTTTCGAAACACCCTGCATACATTTTTAAAAATCTTAAAATATGTAAAAATCAAAATAAAATATACGTGTTTAGGTGTTTTTTTTCGGAAACTCTGACCGTTTTTTAAATAAAAAATATTGTAATATTTGAGGGGTGGTTTCACCTCTTGAAACTGGAATTTCGAAAATCCCTTCTTATCGAACCCTCTAAACTAAAGGATGGGAACTATCGAATGAATAGACTATCGAATGTTTAATGAATGAATGATTTCAACTATCGAATGGTTTTATTCGAATAAAATCATTCATTTATTTGTATACTAAAGCATATGTGACAACCTCGCCGTGCGACTAAATGGTTATCGTTGAGCCACGACTATCGAATGCTTTTGATAAATGAAATTTAGTATTCGTTTGATTTTTGTATGCGTCAGTGCATTATTAGTTCTTCCAAATTTTTATAACTTCGCCGTAAAATACTGTGCTATTTTTGCGTTTATTAAAATAGTTAAAATACTAAAATAGTTGTTATTTTTTAATTGTATTTATTGACGATTGTGTGCATGTGCAGAAAATTTGTGTGGTTTTCCGTAGTCCGATCTTTCAATTATTTAATTTTATATGATATATGGTCTATTTTTTAATGGGAAATTTTAAGAAGTAACAATTTTTAAGAGAGATGAGATGAACTTACAATTAATTTTAAAAATACAGATTTGTATTTTAGATGTTTTAATAATATGAATTAGTTGAACTTAATAATCATATTTAAGTAATGTGGTTAAGTAAATGGTTATCGAACTCAAACTATGAGGTGAGAAAATTAAAATGAAAGTTTTACCAGTGCCAATTTAAAAAAAAAGTTAACGATGTTTGTATTTTGTTTATGCTAATTCTCTTACATGTAGTTTTTTGCGAAGAAATATTTCATTTGTTTTTTAAAGTAAATGCCAGTAAAAGTAAATATAATTTTTAAACAGTAATATAAAGCACCTAATATAAATAATTTTGATTTCTAATTTTTTATTTATATTTTCGTTCCATTACACTGCATGCTTAGAAAATTAATAAATGTTTATATTTCATGATTTTAAAATTTGTTGTTAATATAACAAATTAGTTCTGTAATTATTATTATTTAACAAACCAACGTTGCCAAAAAATTTAAAGACTATATTATTTTTAAATAGGATCTAATATAAATAATTTTGACATCTAATTTGTTGTTTATATTTTGCTACTACTTAAAAAAATATTGATATTAAATCATTTTAAATTTTGTTGTTAATAGGTATAACAAATTATTACTGTTATTATTATTTATTAAACCAGTCTTTGCTTAAAAACATTAAAAATCACTTTCATGTTCTTACATCCAAAATAACAAGTATTATTGCAGTGTAACAACAGAATATTAATAAAAAAAAATGCAGAATATATAGACATACTATCCCTAACTAACTAAAGCCAAACAATAATATTCTTTGCTAATATCAACTAATGCCAAAATATGGCAACAGCGCCCTTCATAATGTATTTTCTGTGTAAATACTAGCACCTCAATAAAAAAAATAATGTGTCCTTATCTATATCTGACTCCGCAAAAAATCAAAGATGCCGGCTTCTTTCATAGCATTGCCACCGACTGCTGTCGGGTTTCTCGGAAAGAAACCTACGTCGCCGGGCGACAACTAAAATTCAGTTAATATTTTATTATAATCGATCCTGACGAATAAATGAATTTCATAAATGAATGAATTGTATAAATGAATGGTTTTTGCTGCCGAATTACTAGAATACAATAGTTCAAGGCAGATGACGGATCTATTCGATAATTTTTATTCGAATAGTTTTCAACGAATGTTTTCTTACTAACTATCGAATTATTCGAATGAATTGCAACTATCGAATGTTTTGATAGTATTCATTCGATAGTTCCCACTACTACTCTAAACCCTAGAATCAACCTGTATAGATACATAGTAAACTTTATTTTCGAAACATATTTCTCCTTAACACATAGTTAACATAGTTATCTTTAATCTGAGAATATTTTGTTGGCTGTACTTAGAGTTTGGAACAAAACAAATTTAGCTAATACACTCTAAACCAGCCTATATAGAATACTGGGCAGGCAATTTTGATTACTTTCGGGTCATTTAGTTTAACAAACTAGCCCTTAATGTGACTAATAACATCTAATTTTACTTAACGAAGCCTTATTTCGAACAATTTAAGTCGCGCCACACTCAAATTAATTGATCTAGATAATAATATAATACAGCGTTGAAACAGCAGTTTTTAGGTATAGTAGGTTTTTGTTAGTTTTATTTTTTAGTTTATTTCTACCAGACGTGTTGTGATTCTTAGGTGAAGGTTACATTTTTTTATTTTTAAACGGTTTTATTTAGCTCGACCCGTACGGTATTTATTTATATGTTTGTTTATTTGGGTAAAATTAGAAATTGAAATTTAAGTACCTTCCTGTTGTCAGATTGATCTGAAATTTGGTACACACCTTTAGTTCCGATGACAATACAATATAGTAATATCAATAACATTGTAAATCTAAGATGGCCGCCGATACAAAATGGCGGATTTCATATTTTTCCACAACCCCCTCAATATGGGTATCAAATGAAAGGGCTACACAAGTAGAATACTGTGATTATGACAAAATTTAAAATCCAAGATGGACGTCGTTACAAAATGGCGTATTAGGTGAGGGCATGAGCAGTCGTGTCCAGAACAGTTGTGTCCAAGATTGTGTGACGTTAGAAGGACAGATAAAAAAAATAGGTGATTAGATGTATCTACGTAGTTAGCGGTAGCTTTACCACCCAAGTTAAGGTAATAGGTTAAAATGTGCTGAGGACTGTATGGCATTAGGGTGGCTAAAAATGTAATGTCGCAAGCGTTTCCCCTCAAGATTGGGCGCCTCTTGTTGTATATTATAGCTTTGCCCCTCTACTGGACCTCTGGGGTCGACCGTTAAAATGTCCATTACTCGTGGGAACAACATGGAAACAATAAAAAAAAAACAAACAAAAATAAAAACGAAACTGCTACACAACGAAAAAGAAGGCTCGAAAAGGCGAAAGAAAAGTATAGAACGAAACGTGCAAAAGAAAGTGAAAATGAAATCTATAGTCGACTACAGAAGCGAAGAGAACGGTTAGCAACAGAAACACCTGAGCAACATGATGCCAGGTTAATAGCACAACGTGAGAGACAAAGGCAGCTGGTAGAGTCACAAACACCTGAGCGTCATGAGTCCAGGCTAGCATCACAACGTGACAGACAGAGAGAGTTGTTAGCGGCAGAAACACCTGAGCGTCATGAGTCTAGGCTGGCATCATAACGAGAGAGACAAGGAGAGTTGTTAGCGCCAGAAACACCTGAGCGTCATGAGTCTAGGCTAGCATCAGAACGCGACAGACAGAGAGAGTTGTTAGCGTCAGAAACACCTGAGCGTCAGATTGTAATAAACTATCAGGTAAAAAACCATGTAATAATGATGCACTAAATTAATTAAATAGAATGAGGAATATTCGGTAGGCATTTCCGTTAAATACTAAAAACTAGAAAATAAAAAATCGGTAAAAAAACATTTAAGTTAAACGGTTTTATCTTATGTGCACTGAAAACTAGAAAATAATAATAACAATTAGGTATTTTAAACTTCTAGTTCAGAAATATGAGTTTTGAAATATTTTAGCTTTTAGGCATATTAGACTGCAATAAAAACGTGGGCCCTCCTGAACTCCTTCCTATGGCAAAGCATATCTTTATACTTTGGTAGATCATGAGCTCGGCGTTCGCTGGTGAAGCCGCCACAGCTTGACAATCAATATGTCAAAATCTCCAGTTACGATTATAGTAAGTCGATGCAATCCACACTTAGTATAGAAGAAAGTATTACAATAATAGTTAATGGGCCCCACGTTTTTATTTTAGTCTAATATGCCTAAAAGCTATTCTGCCTAGTACTAAAATATTTTTAAACTAGAAGTTCAAAATACCTAATTGTTATTATTATTTTCTAGTTTTCAGTGCACATAAGATAAAACCGTTTAACTTAAAAGTTTTTTTACCGATTTTTTTTACTTACCTTCTAATTTTCCATTGAATTTTTATTCTACAGGGTGGTCCCAACTGTATTCCGAAAACTTCAGAAGCATATTCTGCAGATAAAAATAAGTAAAAAGTTCGTATAAATGTATATCCTAAAATGGTGCGTTTCGGATATACAGGGTGTAGAAATTTCATTTTTATTTCGATTTTTTCCAAATAATTTCTGAAGTAACATTAATATTTGGATGAAAACTGGTGTTTTTGACATGAGAAATTTGATTTTGATGTCAATATGTCTTCTAATTGCAGAGGGCGCCACCTATATATATTTTTAAATGGTTTGATGACTAATAACTTTTCGTCCGTACCTGTATAAAACAACTGAGTAAAAAAATATACATTTATGACGTTTTCCACGTACAAAAAGTCTCT